CTTGGAATGCCTATAATGAAATCCATTGATATATTTTCCCATTTCCATTTAGGAATGCTGAGTGGCTGAAGTAGTCCTGATGGTCTCTGGTGCTCTGTTTTAACCTATTGACAAACCAGACATTTTGCTACATAATCTTTGATGTCTTTCTTCATACTTGGCCACCAATAACTCTTCTTTAAATCTTGACATATTTTGGTTCCTCTAGGATCCGCAGTATATGGTGTGTCATGAGCCTCCGCAAGAATCTTCTTTCTCAGCTCAGCATCTTGAGGAATGCATATATGACTCCTAAAATTGAGAACATTAGCTGAAATCTGATACTCTTATATCTTGCCTTCTAGCACTCGTCAACTCTGACACCATTCGTCAACAACTTGCTTTTCTTTAATCTCTTCTAGTAAAGTAGATTGAATTTCTAACCTGGCAATTCTTCCTGATATCATCTTTATCTGTTCTTTGCGAAATTCTTCCAATAATTTTTTCTACATTGTGAGCTGAGACAAAAAGGCTTTCCTACTCAATTCATCAGCTACCACATTGGCTTTTCTAGGTTGATACTTGATTTCACAATCATAATCTTTTACTAGCTCCAAACATCTGCTTTGTGTCATATTTAACTCCCTTTGGGTGAAGAAATACTTCAAACTTTTTTGGTCAGTATAAATATTACTCTTTGCCCCATACAAATAATGCCTCCATATCTTTAATGCAAAACTACAGTTGCTAACTCTAAATCATGCATAGGGTACCTTGGCTCATACTCTTTCAACTGTTAGGAAGCATAAGCTATTACCCTACCCAACTACATCAATATAGCACCAAGTCCTTGAAGTGAAGCATATGTATAAATATCATAGTCTACACCCTTCTGTGGTAACACCAGAATAGGAGCTGTGGTGAGTCTTCCTTTTAACTCTTGGAAACTTGGCGTGCTGTCGTAGGCACCCAGAATTAAAACCTTCCGAACCTAACTACTGAACTGTAAATAGGGTAAGCAAGGGTCGATCCCACGAAGAGTGTCTAGCTTAATTTTCTTTTATGTGATAAAGGCTGGGGGGTTTGTGTAAAAACAGAAAACAATCTCAGCAAAAACAAAAACAATTTAATTCGAATTCAATCAAAATGACGAACTTGGTCTCTGTCAACATCCACCATCGGAATCTTACAACTGATCATTGATGCAAAGATAATCAATTCACACATGGATATTCACCCGTTGGAACTACTTTCCTATCTCTCCTTAATTGTAATTAATCAGGAAACTAGCGATCCTAATTTAATCTTACCCTAACACACCCTAGACAAGCACTCAAGATTTAATCTAGCGGCAACCTTAAGAATTAGAGAGATCGATGAAGCTAAACAACACAAACACAAGCAGTTGTATTTAATTTAGTTGAATGTTCTTCATAAGGTTACTAATTCCTGACGCAGCAAATTACTAACCCTAATTGCTTCACAAGTTGAGGGATCAAACTTTACGGATTTGATATCAAATTTTAGTAGATTTCAACAAATAATACACTAGTAGGCCTCCTAGTAATTAAATGCACAATCATGAAAATATGCACGAATAACATTCAATACTCAAACATGAATTTAACACTAAAAATAGAAAGATCTCACAGTTTATTTGATTCCGGGTTTCCGTTTCCTTCGACCAAGTTACAAAATTTCTAGCCGCTCATGGCCATCACAAAAACTCAAGAGGAAAGAAATTCCAGAGAGGAAAAAAGAGAAGGCGTGGTCCTTAAAACCTAATCTGATCTCCCTTTTAATATCCAATTTTAGAATTCGAATCCCACTCAATCTCCTAAAAGAAATATTCTCCTATCCTAAAATAACATTAATCCTAATTTAATTGTAATTGAAATAAAAAAAAAGAGTCCTAATAAAAGAGAAATGGTGTTTCCAGCTGTAATTTTCGTGCAGCATGTATGTCTTCAAACGTGCATAATAGACTGACTTGCATACAAGTCAGAACGCTCTAGGACGTCGGCAATGCAAGTGTGTCAACTTCAAGCTCGATTAAAACCTTATTCAGCAAGTATCTCTAAAACACAAACATTAAAAGTTGTAATCTCTTTCTTAGCGTTCCACACATTTTGAATCATCTCAATCGGAGCTCGGATGAGAGAATTATACCCAGAATACGAAGCAGTGGCGAAACTGTCCGAATTCCCTAATTAATTCCGTTTTTCAATTAAACACCTCCATTTGCTTCCTAAACCAAAATAAAGTATAATGAGTACAATTAGAAAAACAATACGTAAAAAGACTAGACATTAGGGGGGTAAATATACATTTTGCATTCCCATCAAATTCCCCCCACACTTAGCTTTGCACGTCCTCGGGCAAACTAATTCAAACAAGCCCTACACTCAATCATATCAGAACACCATCATCTCAAGAACATCACATGATGCTAAGCAACAATATTTAATCCATGCATATTCATACCTAACTTAGGAAGCAGCAAAATAAATAAAACAGAGTTAATGACATTCATCTCTCTTTATCATCTTCCACATTACTCTTAATCAGTCATGCAACACGGGAACTATCACACCATTCATGTCCAACTCCCCTCTCAACTTTTCTTTTAATGTAAATCTTTACTACTACAAACTGGGTAGCAAACTAAGGATACAATTTTTTTTCTCTTTTTTTTTTTTTTTTTTTTCTGTTTTGAAAAGAATGAGTGCATTTTATGCTCCATCTCATTTCATGGTTGTGTTTATAGTGAGTGCGTTTTACCTCCATCTCGACCCACCACATACCTTTCTTTTCTTTTCTTTGTTTGAACCCAAATTTAGGACTAGCTTAGAGAAACAATTTTTTTTTTTCTTTTAAGGGTTTTTATACATTCCTCAATCATGCTCGTCACTACTTCACACAACTTCTCAGGACATATTGTTTCAAACTACAAGGATTCGGATATGATTAACTCTATTTATGAAATATTGCTAACATCCTAAGTCAAGGAATATGTTCAACAACAAAGTCAAGTTACTATTTCATGCATCACTAGACGTTCAAAGACATGACCTAAAGCATAAACCTTCCTAAAAACAAATGCGGGTGGTATTTCGTTTAAGGTGTACGTGGCGTTGTATACTAGAGGTTGCCAAGACTGCTAGGCAGTTTTTAAGGCGGGTTCTGGTTTCCAGCCGATATACCCTTAAACTAGGCAGATTTTTTTTATTTTTTATTTTACATAACTTAACACAACCTAAACAAAACCTAAATCCCCTCCCCCACACTTAAAGCTTACATTGTCCCCAATGTAAGATGAAATGCAAAGAAAAGGCAAAAAATAAACCAAATTAAAATGCAAGAAGAAAACAAACTCCCTTGGGTTGCCTCCCAAGCAACGCCTTTGTTTATTGTCGTTGGCTTGACTCAAGGCTGTCATCTTCAATCTGAATAAGTCGGATCCTCAAGGTCCAATCCTGCCACATTTTCTTCTTGGAGCCCTTCATAGAAAGTCTTAAGTCTATGGCCTTCACCTTGAACACTTGGAAGTTGCTAAACTTTGAATTTCAACTGCACCATGAGGAAAAACATTAGTAACACAAGGCCCAATCCAACGAAACGTAACTTACTTGAAACAAACGAAGTCGGATTGTATAAAAGGACTTTTTGACCAACTTTAAATTCCTTCCTAGAGAGCATCCTATCATGAAAGCTTTCGTTTTTTCCTTGTAAACCCTGCATTCTCGTAGGCATCGTGCGAATTTCCTCTAACTCTTGCACTTGCAACTTCCTATGTTCTCCACTTTCATCCTCTAGTTAAAACTCTTGATCGCCCAATAAACCTTGTGTTTCTAACTCAACTGGAAGGTGGCATGCTTCCCAAACACCAAACGAAAAGGTGACATACCAATGGGCGTCTTATATAGTCCTATATGCCCACAAGGCATCATCCAAACGCAAATTCCAGTCTTTTCTACTTGGATTGACCGCCTTCTCAATGACGGACTTGATCTCTCGATTTGACACTTCCGCTTGTCCACTAGTTTGCGGATGATAGGCAGTAAACACTTTGTGGGTTACATGATACTTGCAGTAAAGCCTTCACAGTTCGATTGCAAAAGTGAGTGCCTCGATCACTTATTAGAGCTCTTGGAATTCCAAACCTGCAGAAAATGTTAGACTTGATAAATTCTGCAACAACTTTAGAATCATCAGTCCTAGTGGCTTTAGCTTCCACCCATTTCGGACATAATCAACAGCAAGCAAAATATAAACATAACCAAAAGATACAGGAAGCGGTCCCTGAAGTCGATGCCCCAAACATAAAAATTTCGCAAAATAGAATGGGGTTTTGTGCATCTCTTTTTTTGGGATATATTACCTGTCCGTTGACAATTATTGCATGACTTACAAAAAAGTATGAATCTCGAAATAAAGATGCCAAAAGAACACATTCTAGCACTTTTCTCGCTGTCCTCTTAGCTCTAAAGTGACCTCCACATGCATAAGACAAAAGGTGAGAATGGAAAAATTTCAGTTTCTTGAATGCACTTCTTTTACTTGATCTGCACAATGCTTCCATAAGTATGGGTCATCCCCCACATAAAATTTGGCATCACTTTCTTCTTATTCTTTGAGCCCTAGACAAACCAGAGGAAAGAGTTAGTAACCAATAATTTACAAGATTTGCATACCAAGGTATGTCACACTCGTGGAAAACAGTGCTCGTCAGGAACTTTTCTTGCAAATGATTCATCCTCCACATGAACTAGACGACTCAAATGATCCGCGACACAGTTTTTCTATCCCTTTTTTGTCTTTGATTTCCAAATTGAATTCACTCAAGAGAAGTATACATCTTATTAATCTCGGTTTTGCCTCTTTCTTCGTCATCAAACAACGCAAAGCTGCATGATCGAAAAACAATAATTTTAGTACCAGCAATAAGATCGAAACTTTTCAAAAGCAAAAACAACAGCTAAAAGTTCTTTCTCAGTGGTGGATAATTTCCTGGGCATCATTCAAAATCCTGGAAGCATAATAATGGCATGAGATGCTTTTCCAATTCTTTGACCCAAAACAGCGCCTACTGCATAATCACTTGCGTCGCACATTATCTCGAAAGAATGTCCAGTCAGGGGCTTGATAATTGGGGTGGAAGTCAGCAGTTCCTTCAGCTTATCAAACGCCTCTTTACATGCCTCATTGAGCTCAAAACCATCCTTTTGCAGCAACTTACATAGGGGTAATGCTATTTTGGAGAAGTCCTTGATGAATCTTCGATAAAAACCTGCATGTCCAAGAAAGAACGAACTTCCCGCACACTAGTGGGGTAAGGTAAAAGATTGATAATGTCAACTTTGGCCTTATCTACCTCGATTCCCCTAGATGAAACAACTGACCCAAAACCAGACCTTGATCAACCATAAAATGACATTTTTCAGAATTCACACAGGTTAGTTTCTATGCATCTTTGAAGAACAATGTGTAAGGTTATGCAAACAATTATCAAAAGAGTTTCCTAAACTGTGAAATTATCCATAAAAACTTCTATGATATGCTCAACATAATCTGAAATGTCTAACCATACACCTTTGGAAGTGGCTGGAGCGTTGCAAAGACCAAAGGGCATGCGACGATATGCAAAGTTTCAGAATGGGCATGTAAACTCGTCTTCTCTTGATCTCCGGAGTAATCGCAATCTGAAGTAACCTGAATAACCATCAAGGAAACAATAGTAAGAATGATCAGCTAACCTTTCAATTTTTGATCAATAAAAGTAAAGGAAAGTGGTCCTTGCGGGTTCCAGCATTTAATTTCTGTAATCTATACAAACCCGCCCCCATTCTGAACACGGGTGGAACTAATCATCATTCTAATTTTTTCAACAGTTATTCCAGTCTTCTTTGGACCACTTGAACAGGGCTAACCCAATTGCTATCTGAAATAGGATAATTACTCCAACTTCAAGAAGTTTCAGAACTCTTGCTTCACAACATCCATCATGGGCGGGTTAATCTTCTTTGCGGTTGACGGAAAGGCTTTGCTCCTTCTTCAAGCAAGATGCGATGCATGCATGTAGACAGACTAATTCCTAATATCTGCAATTTTCCAACCAATAGCCATCTTATGCTCTTTAAGACCTGTACAAGCTTCTCTTCTTGAGATGGCTAAGTTTGCTAGAGATGATCACTGGCAACGTTTCTTTTTCTCCAAGGAACACGTACTTGAGGTAACTGGGAGAGGCTTCAAATCTGGAACAGGAGCCTGCAAAACAGAAGGTAAAACCTCTCGTTTAGAAATTGGTAATGCCATATAGGAAGCGTTACCTGATTGCTAAATTTGGAAAATCATTCAATGCTACCCAGTCTCCTGCATTCAGTACTCAAGGCAAACCCTCAATCTCTTTCTTAAGATGATTACTAATGGCAACTTCCAATTCATCTTTTCCATCAAGTTCAAAAACCTCCTGTGCAAAAGTATTATCGCATCTATAAATAACATGATTATCATCATCATCATCAGGATATTTCATGCATCATAGATATTAAACTTGACAAGTTGACCATCAAATTCCTGGTAAGTATGCCACTATGAACATCTATTTAGTCTTGGATGTTTTTAAGAAAGGTCTCCTAACAAAATAGGAGCATTTGATCACCATTTTCCATATCAAGCACATAAAAATCAGTGGGGAAAACTAAGTCATTAACTTGTACCAAAACATCCTCACACTACACCCTTAGGATAGGCATTAGATTCATCAGCTAATTGAATCACAACACTAGTTTTATTCAAGGTCCAGGTTTCAAAGAAGCATATATGGAATATGGCATGACATTAATAGAAGCTCCTAAGTCTAACATGGCTTTCTCAAACATAGTGTTACCTATCGTACAAGGGATAGTAACATACTTGGATCCTTGCACTTCACTGGAAGTTTTCTCTGAATCACTGCAGAAACATTTTCTCCCACTCTCACCTTTTCACACCCCTTAGTTTCTGCTTCCTCTTAAGTGTGCACAATTCTTTCAAGAATTTAGCATAGCGAGTACTTGTTTATAGCATCTAGAGTGGAATTTATACCTCGCATCTACAAAAATCTCATATATATCTCTGTTCTGCTCATCTTTCTAGATTCTGCTAAAGCTTGAGGAAAAGGTGGTACCGTTTATAGTCACAGGCGGAAACTTACGCTTAGAATACCATCGTCGTGGAACGTTGCTGTCTACAACTACATCTTTCTCCTTTTCTTCCTTCGACAATGCAGGGGCTGCCTTTGTTGGAATCTCAACCTCTTTACCACTTCTCAAGACGATCGCACTTGCATTTTCTCTTGGATTGACCACCATTTGAGGTAATTTCCCGAACTTTGTGCCTCCAGCTATTGATTGCGGTTGCCATTGACTCATCTATTCTCCAAACTTTGAACACTGGCTTCTTCTCCTGTTGAAATTGCAAAGTATTAGTAAAGAGACTTACAATATCTTCTAAAGACATACCAGAATTAGAAGTTTGGCTGCATTGTTGTCTAGGGGGTGTGGTGGCTGCTGGTACTTGCGGTAATTGAGCGGTTTTGATGGGGAGCTGATTCACTTGTGGATTCCCATAGGCAAGAGTGGGTGATCCCTCCATCCAAGGTTATGTGCTCGATAAGGATCATACTTCCTTTACGGTTGTCCAGGAAACCTCTTGCTGCATTCACTGCTCAACAGGCTTCTCTTGAAGAGTTGGGCACATGTCAGTTGGATGCCCTACTACCGAACAAATCCTGCAAGCCTTCACTGTTTGCATGTTCCCTACAGCCATTTGACAACAGAGAAGTTAGACTAGAGATTTGTTGTTCTAGGGAAGAAATATTTACCTCATTATCACGCCTAGATGGAAGGTCAGCCTACTGCCAAACTGTTGAGAATTGGCCGCCATATTTGCAATCAAGTTCCTCGCGGCCTCAGGGGTCTTATCCACCAAAGCTCCTCCACTTGCAGCATCAATCTAGCTCCTATCAGTGTATGTGAGGCCCTCATAGAAGTACTGGATCAGTAACTGCTCACTAATCTGATGATGGGGGCAGCTTGCACACAATTTCTTAAAGCATCCCAGTATTCATGTAGGGACTCTCCTTTATGCTGCCTGATCCCAAAATTTCTTTTCGAGTTGGCCGCCCTCGAAGCTGGGAAATATTTCTCTAGAAATAACTCTTCATCTCGTTCCATTGGTTATAGTTCCGGAGGTAGATATAAAGCCAATCCTTAGCCGAATCCTTCAAAGAAAACGGAAAGCTCTTAATTTAATTTGCTCCTCGGTCACCCTCGTAGGTTTCATACTTGTGCAAACCACATAAGCTCCTTTAAATGCTTTGAGGATCTTCACCTGCAAGGCCTGAAAAGTGGGCAAGAGATGTATTAGTCCAGATTTTAACTCAAAAGTAGTAGCAGCACATCTAAAACAGGAAACGTTATGCATAAAGGTGCTTGATTCAAATTAGGGGCAGCAGCTCTTTCAAAGTCCGATTTCCAGCCATGACGTCCTCCTCTTCTATACAGAGTTGCTAGCAATGGGATCAAAAGCCAAATTGCTTTCCTCAGAATTTCTCCGAACTTCCTTCCTTAACCTACACAAGTGCTTTCAATTCTATCAAAACATTCGAATTTGGCCTCAAGAGGGTGGGCTAGAAAGTTTTTCTAGTCTTGCTCAGAACGTGGTTTTCTTCGAAACGGGTACTCGCGCACTCCTAACTCAACCAAAATTTTCCTTATAATAGTACTACTGTTCACCCAGAACAGTGCACTGTTCATAGTTTTTTTTTCTTTTTTCTGCAAAATAAAAAATAACAAAAACGCAATAAAAAAAATCACAAAAACAAAAATCAACTAGAATCACTCCCCGGCAACTGCGCCAAAATCTGGCGTGCTGTCGTAGGCACCCAGAATTAAAACCTCCGAACCTAACTGCTGAACTGTAAATAGGGTAAGCAAGGGTCGATCCCATGAAGAGTGTCTAGCCGAATTTTCTTTGATGTAAAAAGGCTGGGGGGTTTGTGTGTAAAAACAGAAAACAATCTCAGCAAAAACAAAAACAATAATTTAATTCGAATTTAATCAAAATGACGAACTTGGTCTCTGTCAACATCCACCATCGAATCTTACAACTGATCATTGATGCAAAGATAATCAATTCACACATTGAATATTCACCGTTGGAACTACTTTCCTATCTCTCCTTAATTGTAATTAATCAGGAACAAGCGATCCTAATTAATCTTACCCCTAAACAACCCTAGACAGCGCTCAAGATTTAATCTAGTGGCAGCCTAGAATTAGAGAGATCGATGAAGCTAAACAACAAAAACACAAGCGGTTGTATTTAATTTAGTTGAATGTTCTTCATAAGGTTACTAATTCCGGACGTGCAAATTACTAACCCTAATTGCTTCACAAGTTGGAGGGATCAAATAATTACAGATTTGATATCAAACTTAGCAGTAGTTTTCAACAATATACACTAGTAGCCTCCTAGTAATTAATGCACAATCAAGAAAATATGCACAGAATAACATTCAATACTCAAACATGAATTAACACTAAAAACGAAAGATCTCACAGTTTATTTGATTCCGAGGTTTCCGTTTCCTTCGACCAAGTTACAAAAGTTCTAGCCGCTCATGGCCATCACAAAAACTCAAGAGAGAAAAATCCAAGAGGAAAAGAGAGAGAGGCGTGGTCCTTAAAAACTAATCTGATCTCCCTTTTAAAATCCAATTTTAAAATTCGAATCCCACTCAATCTCCTAAAAGAAATATTCTCCTATCCTAAAATATTAATCCTAATTTAATTCTAATTGAAATAAAATAAATAGAGTCCTAATAAAATAGGAAAGTGGTGTTTTCCAGCTGTAATTTTCATGCAACATGTATGTCTTCAAAACGTGCAATAATAGACTGACTTGCATAACAAGTCAGAACGCTCCAGGACGTCGGCAATGCAGGTGCATCAACTTCAAGCTTGATTAAAACCTTTATTCAGCCAGTATCTCTAAAACACAAAAACATGAAAGTTGTAGATATATTTCTTAGTGTTCCACAGAATTTTGAATCATCTCAATCGGAGCTCGGATGAGAATTTTCCCAGAATACAAAGAGTGGTGAAACTGTCCGAATTCCCCTAATTAATTCCGTTTTTCAATTAACACCTCCATTTGCTTCCTAAACCAAAATAAAGTAATAATGAGTACAATTAGGAAACAAATACGTAAAAAATACTAGACATTAAGGGGGGTAAATATGACATTTTGCATTCCCATCAAAACTCTCTTCACACGCATCTGACCATATGAAAGGAGTTCCCTGTTTGGTAAGAGCAATAAGCGGCTTAGCTAACTGAGCAAATCATGCTATGAACTGCCTGTAATAACTTGCAAGCCCCAAGAAACTTCTAACCTCTTCCACTGTCTTCGGCCTTTGCCACTCTAGGATTGCCTTTACCTTACTGGGATCTACTGAAACACCTTCTTTTGAGACAATGTGGCCCAAGAAGGTAACTTGATCTGGCCAGAACTCACATTTAGAAAATTTGGCAAACAACTTCTTACTTAACCACTACAACACAAATCTCAGATGCTCTTCATGCTCTTCTCTTGTTTTAGAATAACCCAAGATGCGATCAATAAATACCACTATAAATCGATCAAGACAATCATGAAACACCCGGTCCATTAAATCCATAAAGACTGCTAGGGCATTGGTTAACCCGAAAGGCATCACTACAAACTCATAATGCCCATATCTGGTCTGAAATACAGTCTTGGCAATATCTTGCTCTGCACCTCTTACTTGATGATAACCTGACCTCAGATCAATCTTTGAAAACACTGTTGCTCCTTTAAGCTGATTAAATAAATCATCTATGCGAGGTAACGAGTACTTATTCTTCACTGTCATTTTATTCAACTCTCGGTAATCTATGCACATCCGTAGTGACCCATCTTTCTTTTTCACAAATAGAATCGGAGCACCCGAGGGAGAATGGCTGGGTCAAATAAAACACTTGTCTAGGAGTTCTTGGAGCTGCTTCTTCAATTCCTAGAGCTCGGCTGGGGCCATATGATAAGGGGCTTTAAAATTCGGTGTTGTCCTTGGTGCCAACTCAATGCTAAATACTATTTCTCTTTTTGGAGGTAAACCTTGCAAATCATTCAGAAATACATATGGAAACTCCTGGACTACTGGCACATTTTGGATCTCAGATCAAGGGACATCATTGCTTTGCACCACATGGGCAATATACCCGGAGCACCCTTTTCTTAACATTTTTCTGGCTTTTACACTGTTGATTAACATGCTAAGCTGATGGCCGTCTCCAAAGCTGAGCTTATCGCTGTCATTAAGATTAAATTTTGCTTTCCTCTTTCAACAATCAATCTCTACTCCATATCTCCCTAGGAAATTCATGCCCAAAATAACATCAAAGTCGGGCATATAAAATACAATCAAATCCACTATTAACATCCTTCCATGGATCACTACGGACTCCCCTA